CCGCCCCTCGCCGGCGCACGCAAGGGGATGCCGAAGCACCCGTCCTGGGGGAGACGACTCGGACGGGGAGCAATTTTCTTTACATCCAGCTGAAATTTACGGGGAGGGGAGAAGAGGGCTGTGAAGCCGACTGGTGCTCAACATCCCCTCCCTTTTCTAGAACACACCTACACCCGTTTGCCAACGTATTGTAGGATCCTGGGTTTAATTACAACTCACCTAGCTTCGATTCAACCGATACTTCTCTGGCCAGAATAGTCCTGCGTTGCTTTTCTCCGCCTCGATCGCCTGTGTATCGCTTCCAATCTTTCTCCTACAACGCAACGTCTGGCATTTTCACCACGCCATTCGTCATCATTTCTGTCAATGCTGCTTCCGCCAACCCTTACTAGGGCTGGTAAACTTTACTAACCCTTGCACTTCTTCCCCATAGTGGAAGTGCAAGTGCTAGTAATGGTTTTAAACGTTTTTAACGCTTTTGACGTTAAATAAATAAATAATTAACAGTTTTACTATTTTCATGAATACAGAAATTGTTTTCTTTTAATTAAATGTTCTAATTGTAAACTATCATACAAAATTTGGATTTATTTTGGGTTTTCCGTCTCTTTCTTCTTCGTTTTCTCCTATTTTTCTCATTTTCCTGCGCTTGACTTTTTGGTTTCAGCAGATATACACACCATATTTTTCTGACGACATCCAAAACTGATACGGGATTTATCCTACTGTCTCCGCCGGTCTTCCGCCTACTGCCGGTCTTCCGCCGGTCTTCCGCCGGTACTGAAGCCTCAGTATATGATGCGTGTTCATCTTCCTTGCGGCCATTACGGTCGCCATCTCAAATTTGTTGATAACAGTTCCTTCTGCCTCTGTTCTTTAATTCCCTCTTTCTTTAGTACTCACTGTCGTCATTTAATTATAGTGCCCCGATGTTGCTCCCGCAACCATTCGCACTCGCGCTCCTACCGCCATCTCTGTTCTCGCCGACGCGCATTTGCTGTAGCCAGTTTTCTCGGACGTATGGGTTGCTCATGGTTCGTATTCTCAGCTCTACATAATCTCCGCGCTCCTCCCGGCACACCCCTTGAAACTCTATTTCCCACTCCATTGTCCCTCGTTTCGTCCCAGCAGGTACTCCGCTGCTTGATTCCCGAAGTCCCCCGTGCGCCGTCCTCGTCCAGTCCATTGTCTCCCGTTTTCATTATTCCTTGAAGCCGCGCCCTCTCTTTGCGCCGTCATGGGGCCTGGATATTTCCGCCCTCTACGCTCGTCTACCCACTACCCCCGTTCCCATCTGGCGCGTCGTCAACGTCCCTTGCTCTCGTCCACGTACTACGCTCTCCGTTGACAGTCACCACATTCTCGACAGAGCGTTTGGGTTCTTTACCGTTCTCCACCCCCATGAACTTTTCCCGCTGTCTATCATTTCTACCCTACACGCATGACCGCCGGAACCAATCTTTCAGCCATCGCTAGCGGCGCAATAAAGAGGGGGAATTTAGCTCACCCTCCCATCAGCCGATGACATATTCCCTAATAAAGTCCATACAAATGTTCTGTAAAAACGAAAGTCACTTAATATATGCCTTCAATACGTTATGTTACCAGTAACTATAAAACAAAAAACATGATTCCACCATACATAAAAAAATCTTTATAAGAAAACATTACGTCAACGCGCACCACGTATACAGAAAAACCCTGGTTGCTCCACTGGCCTTCGCGATTTTCTTTCCTCCATTCGCTCTTGCCGGTGCCGGAGCCTCCGCCATTTCTGCACTCATTTCCGCCGGCGTGGCGCGGAGCGGCGTGGCGCGGCGCGGCCGTGCGCCTTGGCGGAAGCCAGCTTCCCTCGCTCGCGGCCCGCGCCGCCGCCCGCGCCGCCGATCGAATGGCGGCGGGAGAGCGCGTCCCTCGGGGAGGCCTGTTGCCACGGCAACGGGCGTCGTGTGCCGCGGAAATCAGCGTCTTGCCGACGCGCATCGGAGAAGTTAGTATCGAAATTTTTAGGGCGCGTTTCCGACTGAAAGAGGCTCGCAGAATGTTGCTTTGCCTCGTGAATGCTTTCGATCTGTTTATCTACAAGAGATTACAGCGTTCACACGCTTTGTGTGTGTGTGATTTACTTTGTGCTATTGATTGTGACACCTGATCAGGAGGATTATTACATTGAGTGTTGTAATTATAGAAATCTGTATTTGGCTGAAAATAGGGTGTCCCACCATCTACGGGCCACACCCATAATTTCTAAACGGTTCGCGATATCGAGAGGCAGTTTTCGTTTAACAGTGCGGAATCGTGGGGCAAGTAACATGCCTGAGTGAAGTATTGTATAATATTTTTAGTTTTCGAGAAATTATATCATCTTTGAATTTTTAAATGGAATTATATATTTTTCTTAACAGCAGGGGAAATACCATGAAAAGAGGAATAAAATGATGTTTCATATGTTAGTAATTTGATAGTAATTTGAGTATAAAATGAGACTTTTTGACATGTGATTTTTAAGTAAACGGACATTTCTTATAGCAGCTTTTGCAACAGAACCGTTGAAGAAGGTGGCCTTCCCTGCGTCGATACTGAAATGAAGTAAAGAATGGTCTTGATACGAAGAACACGTGAGCAAACATTAATATTAACGATCAGAATGAGAGATTTTTTCCCATTTGAAATGAACTTTTCTTCTTGTGGAATTCCAAAGAAACGATAATCGAAAAGAAGAAAAAAAATTGTCGCGAAAGGACGATGATAATAATAAAGGTGATTTTCAAATTTACAAGAATTGACCCCATTGTGTTATGTCACAAGCAATCAATTTTA